AATATAGGCCTTTTAACATTCACTGTTATGGGAAAAAATAATATGAAAAATAAATAAATAAATCTCCACACAGTGAGACTGAAGATGTATTTGCTTTTATTTCCAGGATGTGTTTAACAAGTCAGGGTTCTGGTGCATAGTCATGAAGGAAGCATGAGTTACATGGATACAGACATGGACATTAACATTCAGAGGGAGTGCATCAGGAAAATAATACTCTTTATTCTTGTTTTCAAAATGGACAGTTGACTCATTGAGAGCTTGGTGTCTGAAATCTTTTATCACAGGGGGTGAATCAATATTTGTCAAAAACGTGAGATGTATTAGAAAGTTAATCTGTGCTTGCTTTGGAAATCGAGTCGTCTAAAATGTACATCTTTTGATAGTTAGAGGCAGTTCTGATTTCGTGTACCGCTGTTTGGACTATGGTGAGGTTAGCTTTTCTGTTGGTCTGTGGAATGTGGTGGAACTCTTTTGGCAGTGTGAGGGTTGGACAGGACAGTTCAAGTGAAGTTATGCATCACAATACAGGCCCATAGGAGATACTGTAGACCTATGGAGCAGGCCTACAGAGGAGAGGAAGAGTCTTTTTAATCAGGAGTGCTCAGTAGTACTAGTAAAAGGATGGGCCTATAAATAGAATAGATTAGTGTCTGTTAGGCCAGTTGAGTGCAGTGAGTGTATATCAGGCCTACAGAGTAATACTAGTATAAGAATGGACATATTGGTTAGAGTATAGGGTGAGTAGTGAGTATGTATCAGCCGTACAGTGTAGTACTAGTACACTGTAGGGTCTTTTGGTCAGAGTATGTTGGATATGTGGAGTATAGTAGGACTGTGTAAGACCAGCAGACATGAGACTCTTGGATTGGCAGTGTGAGTTTCAGCCGCTCTGGCAGTAGTCTAAGATCAATTGGAGCTTCTATTTTCTCAAAAATGATTCCTACATTTATATTTTTCTTAATCACAATTGGTCATTTTGAAAAATGTTCCATCAAATAAGACATATATTTGAATATGTTTGTTACAAACTTAGAACTACACATCAAATATACACTGGATTCAATTGGAAAGTCATTTCTAACACTATAGCGGCTTAACACTGCAAGCATGAGATGCCATTTACAATAATTAGTATTATTAGGTTTGGCAAAAGCTTTGTCTAGCTCTAGCATTGCTTTTGATACTGCATATAAATGATGTATACATTTTGTATGTCCCATTACTTGGTGACAACGGTGGCTGCCACTGCAAGCATCAAATGTAGCCACTAGGTGGCAGTAATACATTTTGCCTGTGCTATACTGCACCACTGCAGAGGAGCACAGAGCAGACTACTGCAGTATCCACTGCAAACAGAAGTACGACTGAGGAACCATGTGAGAATATGACAGCTGATTCATATAAAGGACATTTTGTGTTCATAGTTATGAGTAAACCACTGCACAAGGAGGTGAACTAAACAGCAATCTTCATTATATGTAAATTAAGAGTAGCCCTAAATAAACAGACTTGTACCCAGCCCTATGAGCCCTCCTGACTGATGTTGTGCTTACCCTGACCATGAAACATGAGCTAAAGCTCCTCTCGCTCTGTGCAGCAGGATACACTGCACTCCAAACTGTGGCCACAGAGTATGTCTATATCCCAGACTAAACATACTTGTCATGATATTGCTTTTCTCTAAAGGAAGACTTGAGATATGTGCCCTCTTCACAGAGGAATAACATGGACAAACAGTGTTTGAGAGGAGCCTCCTCATAACATTCACAGCATCGAGTTAACAGTGCCATTCAGAACAAGTATACAAATACAGACAAGCCCTCTTAACCCAAGTAACAGAGAGGTCCACACAATCACCATGGTTCATAATCTCCCAAAGAGAAGTCTAAACTTATTGTCAGTGTTATCAGAACAGAAATGATAGTGGAAATAATGCACAAACAAATATCTGAGCAACACTATACAACAGATACCACAATGGACATTCCACCAGAGCCAGTCCACACACATTTATAAAGTGCCATAAAACAGTTATTGCATAATCTGATGTCTGGTTTATTGCTTCCATTGAAAGCAAAAAAGGAAATGCACTCCAGAATGAGAGCAGTAGGCTGATTGGGTACAAAACAAACCACGTAATAGCTACAGTATATTCAGGAGAGACTGATCATATTACCGGGTAACAGAGGCTAACTTAAACTATCATGGCTTCAAAGATATATTTTCTCTTTGCTTGGGTCAGAGTAAAGTGCTGCTATGCTAGTATGCAGGACCAGTGCACAACTCTGGGCTCTTGATACATAAGTATGTGTAGCATGTGGACATGTTAGTGGAGCCATCCCTGCTATGTGAGAGCACGAGAGCCTGCTTCACCAGTCACATTCAGGGACACTGACAAAGTCCCAGTGAAAACAAATACAGATGTTCTTGTTATTATTCTGAAACTGATTAAAATGTGCAAAAATATAATTATCACTTATACTTCATAATAGCTATACCTTAGTCTTAACAAAGCACAAATGAGCAAATTAAGTTAAGAATGACTCAGGCTTAGTAACTACTTAAGGTGAATGGGTTGAGAGTATGAATTAAATGACAAATATATGCATTGTTTTGTATTGTTGTTTTCCTTTATGCTTTAGTACCTTTGCTTTGAAATTTCATGTTTTAGAACGTACATTCATCATCGCTATCTTCAGACAATAGACACCATGTTTCTGCAAATGCCCTTATCATTAGTGAGAACTGTGGTTAAGACGCCATCTACTGACAGCAAAGGGAATTACTATTGAATAATCAAACAACAACTAGGGTTAACAATGTCTTCCGACATTCTAACAGAAGGGGAATACAGTTGTAATGAACACAATTCTGTCTGGCAATAATGTATGGATTTAAAAAAACAGCACGGGAGACCTCCAGACTTTTACCTATGATGTAACAATCTTTAGAAATTGTCAGTAGCTTGTTTTGTGACTGCTTAGAGTTACTGGACTAATCATCAAGTGTCAAAGAAGAAAAATACAACTGTGGGAATGAGGGAAAAATGTTCACAACATGGTAAAAGCTCAAAAAAGTTAATTTTGCTTAATATGAGTCCTTTAAGAGTTAGTTACTCAGCCTGAGTTATTCTTATGAAACAATGTCTTCATTATTCATAAAGTCTTTCTTCATACTTTATCAAGGCTAATTCAGTGTAGTCATTATTATAAAGTGTTACCAAATTATCTGTAGCATGAAGTGCGTTTAGTAAAAGTGCTTTGACCAACTGGACAGATAATGCATAACCTTTGTCACATTCATATCAGTGATAACTAAAATATTTTTCCTTCACATATAGACTCTATAATATACTCTTTCTGTTCCTGCTTCAAATAGTAACAATTATTCATCAAAACGGTTTGCTATTACAGCAATATCAACTTGAAAAAAATAGCAACAGACTTGTTTGTCAAATGTGAGTAATGGTCTAAAAGGAGTTAAAGGGTGTGTTTACAAGCTTATGTTTCATTCACCCGATGCAGTAGTGAGGAGTGCATGGTAACATGGGCTCTTATGAGGGCATTCAGGCATGTGTGGGGTTCATAATGCTACACAAAGTATTCTTCGTACATGTCCTTATATAAAACGCGCACATGCTAAAATGCATTGGTTATTAGTCAGAAGCAGCATGGATAAATTCATTCCTTTCTATAGAGAGCTAAGGGTCTGCTTGGGGGATTGTCATTGAGGGTTTGGGTTCTTTTTTATACATTTCTCCTGTGTATTCATCCTCCCACCAGCAGAGGGAGCAAAAGCAAAAACAGGCACCTGTGTTTTATCTAAAGCAATCGAAAAGCGTGCGAGGGCTGGATCAGTTAAACACATTTAGTCACTTTTGGCAACTGTTACCATGTTTTGGAAACTTCTACCAAATGAGTCAAAAATGTTCCACACATAGTAAACATGAAACTCCTGTAGACTGGATTGGCAGTAAGAATGATCAGGACTAACAAAAACTACAAAATAATTACCCCTGTTCAGGTTATTTTTATTTTATGACATATTTTCAAGTACAAATATGATCATTATTATTAAATTACTAAATTCTAGTTTGGAATACAAATGGTTAAAATAGCCTTCTTCATTTATTTTCATTGTAAAACAGCTTTATGTAAATTGCTCTTTCGTTGCAGTTAAAAGTCAAAACTCGCGCGCAGTTTGTGCTGTTCCTCAGTCGATAATATGGCAGTTCAGAGATTATGGCAATCCATTATGGCATCAAAATGTTTACTCCCAGCTCAAAGCTTTGTTCTGGTTCAGATTTGACAACATTTGTAGAAGTAAAAATCCAACGAAGCTTGGCTCACAACAGTCCCATATTACACTTTAAGATATGTTATAATGTTATTATCTCATCACAAACCGGAGTTGTGTTTTTGTTTCATTCACACACATTTGATTGGTCCTTTATCATTAGTTTGTCTACATCTCCAAAGCTCAAAATGCTTTGCTCCACCTTGTGATGAACTCGTAGTTTTGAAATTAACAGCTACCTTTTATCTTTAAATTAGTTCAGTAGAGATGGGTGAATTACAAGGCTAAAATTATCCAAATAAGTGACCGTTTATGGAGTTTAAAAACACTGTGGAGCACTTCTTGCATTACCGCATGGCATCACAAGGTGCAACTGAGTGTTTTCCATAGGAGAGAATAAATATTCATGTAAATAAAACAAAACAAAACTCCAGGTATGATTTTGATGAGGAAACAACATTATAAAACAGATCAGAAAATTGTGTAAAAAGGACCTTTTAAAATACTGAAGACATTTTTTTAGTATGTGTTTAAGTGATCCAGCCTACGCACGTAGTATTACACTTCAAGCATGATTAAAAAATAAATAAGTATTCACATGTATTTGTTAGCCTATTGGATAAAACAGTCCTCTGATAACAGCATTGTACATTTGTCTAACATATATACAATCATAGAGCCGTACTGGCCTCTGCTGGGGCTCAGGCTTTTGGTGTCCCTTGTTTTTCTCCTTTGGCTCCTGAAAGTCCATTCTCTGTGTTGTCGTTCCCTGAGCTCACCAGGCACTCTTTACTGTGGACAGAGAGGCAGCAGAGGTTAGGGTATACTCTTGTACCATCAGACACATCCTTCAGTGTCACTGCGGCAACCTGTCTGGAGCACTGAGTGAACACAGAGCAGCTACAGACCTATGCTCAAAGTCAGTCGTAAATAGGTCTAGCCTCAGTCTGTGGTTGCTACTAGGGATGGCACAATATCTCATGCCGTAAGATGTCATGAGACAAATTGTAAAATTGCGCACACGCTGAAAATGAACTTTGCATTGGATAAAAAAAAGTTAAAGGGACAGTCCGGAATTTTGGACATAGGACCTCATTTCCTAGTTAGCCATAATGTTGGAGATGTGCGAAGACACTTAAACACTAAAATATTCCATCAGTCTTTGTATTTGCAGAGGTCGCTGGTGCTAGGCTAGTGCATGTCAATGGCCATAGTTATCCTGCCACTAAAAACAGTCTTACCCACTCCCCAAAACACTTGAAGCATTTCTTACCAGACTATCAGTGTAAATGTCTGTGTTGATAGAATAATGTTTGAAATAAACCTAACCTTGCATGGCATGAATCGCTGCACTTTGAGGGACTATTTTCTCAGCAGCAGCAGAATTTTACTTTGCCGGTAAGATAGGTACTAGGTGATATCAGTCCGCCCCTGCCAAGCTTTCTATCAGGAAGTACAACTCGCTGCTGCTGCTCAGACATAAATCCTTCAAATGCAAAGTTGGTTTTACTTCTAAAATTATTATATTGACGCAGACATTCACATCGATACTATGGCGTAAAAACAGATTTGCCGCAGGTGTTTTGTGGAGTGGGTAAGACTGTTTTTAGTGGCAGGATAACTATGGCCATTGACATGCACTAGCCTAGCACCAGTGACCTCTGCAAATACAAGGACTGGATGGAATATTTCAAAAAGTGTCTTCACACATCTCCAACACTCTGACTAACTAGAAAATGTCCAAAATTCCAGACTGTACTGGCAAGATGCATTTTTTGAGAAGTTGTAGTCACGTAAAGCAGTGCTACAGAAAAAATAAAAAAAAATAAGAAAGAAAGTAAATTCAAAATTGTGAGATTCAAACTGGGAACTGGATTACACAATTTAATAAGAGTAAAATATTGTCAAAATCTCATCTGACCTCATTCTTGTACATCCAGTCTCGTGTCTCGTTTTGTGGAAACTGTTTCCCACCCCTAGTTGTTACATAGACTATTGTACATAGGGAAGCTGAGACAATGTGGTTGAAGTACGAGAAAATTATAACAAAAAGTGTCTGACAAAACACCTGACAAAATGGATTAAAAGATTACTTTGGCTGTGCATGTAAAATAACACCATTACAAAATAAGTAAGAAAATATGTAACTTAAATTAGCTATAACATAACCACGTGCACACAACTACACAGAAAGTCCCCAAAACTTAAATCAAAATACAGGCACCTAGAAAAACACAAATGACTCCAGACAGTTTACTCCTCCACAAGATCTGGCCCATGACCCTAACCTATGCTTATAAAAAGGAGAGTTATTTAATTGTGTATGCTCTATGGTATTAGTATGGTATAATTAAGAACATAAAAAAGAAGTGGCAAATTAAAAAAAAAAAATAAAAATGGGATGAAGTAACCACAAAACCCACTTTGTCACAGACTAGGATAGGGAATTTTTCACAGCACTGTCATATCAAGGACATCTACTGCTAGGTCCTTGTTGACGTTTCTGTACAGATATTCCTATCTATGATCACAGGTCATAATGCACCTACAAGAAAAGTATGTCAGAAAGACAATTCTGTCAAGAGGACAAAAGATTTTAAGACAGAATATGTTCTGTCTCTCATCCAAGCAGCTTCTTCAGTTCTGAGTGACAAAACATATCCATTCCTAAAAAAACAGCTAATGCAAAAATTGTCCCGTTGAAAGAATTTCCGTAATTTCCGGACTATAAGCCACAAGTTTTTTCTCACACTTTGAACCCTAATAAAACGATGCGGCTAATATATTGATGGATTCTTTGTTTGGCACATTGTCCATTCATACATATACGGTCTGTGGTTTGGCAACACAGCAGACAGCCAGAAAGCATCGCTGTCTGTGCGGGTAACACAGCGGATCTATAGATCTAGGGATAACATGAAGATGAAGCACACTCAAATAGTTTAGCGCTGTGTGATAAAATAAGTTATGATTCTAAAAAAGTTTAGTTAGAGGGATATGTCTTATCAGTATGTGTAAATGAAAAGAAGAAACGTCTCAAACTTCAGTATCCGGATATCCACTTGATAGATAGAACTAACCCCGTCCCTGAGAGAGGCTGAAATGTGCTGAAATCCTATGAGACACTGACATGATACAGACAGGACAAAGACTCTTTCTGCAGGAGACATGCGCAGTAGAGTGCGGGAAGAGACGAGGGTGGAAGATGCTTGTTTGATTGTGTTTTGAACAGTTATTTTGCACTTCAAACACACACCCTCCTCATGGAAAACACACAAAGACGTATGCTTATGATGCAGCTTTTAAGTTAACGGTATTGATGTGGCTGTGGAAGAAGGAAACAGAGCTGCTGTACGTGAGCTCGGCATCAATGAGTCACTGGTGAGATTTTGGCGATGGAAGCGTGACGAACTGACTCAATGCAAAAAGACGACAAAAGCTTTCAGAGGCGATAAAAGCAGATGGCCCAAACTTTATAACGTTCTTGAAGACGTGGACACCTGCGGCTTATATTCAGGTGTGGCTTATATATGTACAATTTAAAAATTTTGTTAAAATTTTGTTGATGCGGCTTATCTTCAGGTGCACCCAATAAGTCCATAAAATACATTTTTTTTGCGATTGAACATACCTGGACAACTGGATTATACCGACACTACCATAATGTGTTGATTGTTCAAGTCTATGGATTCTGAGCTTGCTTTACAATTGTAGGGCTGCTTGAAATACTGTATGTTGATAGTCAGTGCCTCTCCCCATGACTATCTGACACCACTAACCTTAACGACGTACTGGCATGAACTATTTCTGTGAACTATTAGCAAAGGTGGTCCAAGGATGTCAGCAGGTCTAAATAAAAATACATTCTTTCTCTCAGTGACTCTGGACTATCGGATTTCAATACAATAACTGTGATAAAGCAAATAAACTGTATTCCACAATGGCATAACTTCAATAATAACAGTTGACTTACTTCTTCTCGTCGCCCTTGCACAGGAAGCGGACCACCAAAGCCTTTATGACCATGATGAGGATAACTAAGCCAATGACTCCACCCAGCACTGACACTATGATCACTGTCAGTGTGTTGTCAACCTCCTTCACTGAAAAGAAATATTAAAGTTCAGAATACTTTGCAGGATTAAGAGCAGTTCATTTATGTTTTTTCTGACTTATCTCCTTAAAACTCCTGAAGCTGTATAAAACACAGCACATTTTCATTTTGTCTACTTTCACAGCTCTTATCACAAAACATATTTGTAATTCAATATCAAATTTGGAAGATATTTCAAACTATTTCAAAGTTGTAATGTTAAAGTTCTATTTGAAACAAGCCCTAGAGTGTGTGTTCACAATAGTCCTGGTTTGTTCCTGGTTTAGGTCCGTTCTAGTCTGGGTTAGTCCTGATCTAATCTTGATTTAGTTCAGAGTTTAGTCCCAGTTTAACACCAAGTTGAAAGCACCTTTTACCGTGCCTTCTACTTAAAAGAGATTTCAATCTAAATTAAAAAGTCTTTTGGCAATCTAGAGTATCTTCAGTAGCAGTCGTCAGCCAGAGTTGTCCGGTTAGTGACATACCTTGGTCCACTACTATCAAGGTGAAGATTGCACTGTGGTTTCGGTTTTTCTCCTTTGGGTTCTTGGCGAAGCAAACATACTCCCCTTCATCTTCAAAGGTGATGTTCCACAGCAGGATGGAAATGTTGTTGGATTTGGAGGAGCCCACAAACTCCACACGCTCATGAAACACGGACACTTTAGGTTCTACTCCCTCAATAGGAATCACAGCCTCACAGAGCTGCAACGGAACACACACAATATGAACATTTGTACTTGAGTAAAGGTACAGTTACATATTTGTGCTTAACTTAAAGAACTTCCAAAATTAAAAAAGTTTATTCAAAGTACTACTTTTTTTATGCAGTTTTAGTAACATTTTAGATTAGTGTTTTATACTGAACTTGAGTAATTCAACAGATTTCCGCTGAGTTCAACCCCAATCCGCATATTCCATTATGAGTGTTTGACATAAGCAGAGAGACATCAGTGCTTATGGACGATTGGGACTTGTGCTGTTTTCTGTAATTCCGATGCTTTTTAATGTAGCTAACATTACAAAGTTATTTTCTTTTTAGTCATTAGTTATTTTCCATGCTTCTTATGGTTTGATCTCTTGGAATAATATTCATAAAAGTGCAGGACCATGGTTCCATTTTTGGTCCAGTTGAAGTAGAGGTTCTTGATGCCGATGCAGGAGGAGTAGGTACATGGCAGCAGCACTGTGGAGCCGTTCATGGCTTCCAGCGTGGACACTTTTCCTGTGGAGACCTCTAATCCAGCAACACTCCAGATACCTGAAAACACATGATACACACATGACACATGAAGATATTATAACCAACTCTGACTTTACAAGAACATTAATGATCTTTGCACTATGGACTTCTAAGACTTTTAATGATGAACAGGGGGCATTTATGGAAACTAGTGTGTTTGACGAGCATGCACTGCATGTCTGAATGATGAAGTTCATTCACACAAAACACCATTCATGAATAAAGTCTGCTTTGTCAAATTTTATTTTTATATAATGATGCTGGAATCAGTGGGGAATCGCACTCATTTCCTGGAAAATTTGGTCCATGTTTACTGTTATTGCTCATTCAGTCCATACTGAGTGGTGATAAGATACTATTGTATTGTATATGTAGATTGTATATGTATTGTAGACTGATGGGAAGCAGTGCTTCCATTCTGCACCATGGGTCATGTTGTTCAGCCTCTTTTTAACACTACATTAACAACACATTTCTAAAAGGGCACATGCTACACTATTTTCTGATCTATGTTATGTTGTATATAATGTATAATATCACAAACATACCCACAGTTTTATTTTGTTCCATTCACACATGTTTGAAAGCCAAACCCCCCATATTTAGGCTGAGTTTTTCTTAGCTCCACTGTGTTTTTAAACTCTATACACTTATACTATCTTTGGGTAATATCAGCTCTGGAATTGCCAATCTCTACTGAACTAAATGTAAAAGGTAGCTGCTGAAAAATAACACTACATGACATCACAAGGTGGAACAGAGCATTTTGAGATTCGGAGATGTAGACAGACTAATAACAAAAGGTTGGACATTTGTGAATGAAACAAAAAACAACTCCAGGTATGTTTTTGAGGAGTTAACAACATTCTAACACGTCTTAAAGCTCACAAAAGTAAATTTTCTGTAATATAGAAATGTGTATTATTTTAGTACTTCACTGTGCATTCAACATAAAATGTAAGCTCTCACGAAACCTTGGACAGTATTTGCCTGCACAATTTAAAAGTCACATCCAAGTCCATTGCACGCCGACCTTGTAGCCTGACAGGGATGAGGGGTCTCGTGTTTCGGGGCGGTGGGTTCTGCCCATGTTTTGAACTAACAGCTGGTGTAAGTGTCACACACTGGGGACCTATTTTTAAAGCTCATCACACACAGATCTGCTTGAGATCACATTTCACTTTTACATGTGTCTGAGCACTTGGATGACTCTGTGGCTCTGAAGGAAGTGCAGCAATGCAGGGAATCTAACCCGCGACCTATTTACTGATGTTTACTTGTAAAATATATGCTAAAAAAATGTAACACTTTATAATAACTACAGCTTAATTGACCTACATCATACACAAATAGTTTAATTACAAATGGTTTAGCAACTATCCTAACTCCTAACCCCTGAATAATTCTTAACAAACTATTTGTGCATTAGGCTTATAGTCATTATAAAGTGGCATCTAAGCGGCTTTAAAGATGATTGTGCTTGTACTAAAGGCCATACTGTGGAATATTCCAAACACAGCAATAATACCTCCATGAAAACAAGCAAGTTGCAGACTAACTCCACCAGAAGTTAGACTGTGCTCCTTTAATAACCAGGGAATTTCCCCTTTGTATGAATGACCTCAGTGTAAGTTCAAAGTTACAATATAATAGAGTGTAAATCTCCACTGCCTTAATCATATCCTTTTAAACATAATGATTAATACTACAAGCTTTGTTAAAATTAAAGCAGCAGTAAAGTACAGTTTAAAAAAAAAAAAAAAGTTAAGATACTACTGGTAGGACACTTTTTTATGATTATGATCAATACTTGAAAAGGTATTGAAAAATATACCAGTGCAGAAAACCAGTACTGGTACCCTAAAAAATATAAAAACAGAATACAAACAGACATATTTAATTGTCTTTTAATTAAAAAAATATATATATTTTCACATACTATGAAATAATCTTTGTATTTAATTAGACATTAGCAAAAGTAGATTGCTAGTTAGAATTTATTCAACCTTTCTTGTGTGTATTTGGAAATACAATATTTGAAAATTAAATCAATTAACTTTGTCTGAAATTTATATGAAAATTGCTGTTAAATATTTCCTGGGCATTCACTGGATGTGTCTCCTGTTTCAGGTCGTGTATCACTTCATGCATTTCGAGATTGTTCCATTGCGGATGCTTTTAAACCTGTGCTCTGCTGAGGCAGACTAACTAAATAAGTGCATAGATTCAAGGCATTGGATTGCATTACGTCAAATCTTTCTCCCAAAATCTAGAATTACATTGCATCCTAATGGAAAAGGTGACCCTATAAGAACTATGTGTAGAGACCATTTGACAGTGATGGGAAATTGACAGTTGTTTACAAGACTGCACCTATTTCTGGATCCAGTTTATGACATGGTTAATGTAATGTGCTGCACTGAATGCTGTCTTTGTATATTATTAATAGTGAGTTAATAATAATAATAAAATAATAAGGCCTCAGTTTTATATAGGGCTTTTCTGGACACTCAAAGACACTTTACAGAGCATTATTCATTCACTCCTCCCTCGGTGGTAAACTACTACTGTATTGTAACCACAGCTGTCCTGGGTCACACTGATGGTAGCAAGTCTGCCAATCTGTGCCATTGTCCCCTCCAACCACCACCATCACTCACGCACACACCACTTTCATACAAGGCAATGTGGGTAAAGTGCCTTGCATAAGGACACAATGACGGTTTTTGCAACTGACAGTTTTGGCGACAAGCCAGTATAACCACTCCATTTTAATTCAAGTAATGAGACGAGATCATGGATATAACGATTTTTAATCAATCAATCAATCAAAAACATAAAGTTGTCACACTCTGCAACAAAGAACTAAAATGCAGCATTGACCTGTGTGTTTTTGGGTGGGGGCATCATCCGAACAGCCAAGAACCTTCCCTTATACAGTTGGAGACAGTGCATGGACATGGATTTGTACATCAGTCATGAATGGCAGGGAATTCTTGTCCATATAAGTTTGGTGAATCAATTGTTGCCAGTGACATTATATACTGTGTATACTATATACATTGTGCTCTTGGGCAACCTAGGCTTCAGCAAACTGTGTGAATATGTGGAAAACAAATAATGGGCATCACAATACTATAAATTAGGGGGAAAAAAGTAAATCGATCTTGATTTCTGATTATTATTATGATTTATCTTTTTGAAAAACAAAGAAACAAAATGGTCTTTAGTATTTATTTCATTAACATAAACATAATTAGATAGGTAGATAGATACATAGATACATATCCAAATACATAAATTAATACTTAAATAAATAAAATCATCAATCAAATCAAAACAATTTGAAACGACTCGATCTTGAAGTGATTAATATTGAAAGTGCCTATGACAGGTTGAACAAGTAATTTTACTTAAACACAATTAAGATCATTATATTTAAGATTTTATTAAAAATATGAAGAAAAAAAACCCATCAGAGTTTGGCCATTTTTTAGGTTTAAAATTTCACTTCCGTGTTGGCAAATTTATTACGAAATTACATTATACTACGAAATTGCATAACTGTTACCTAGTAACCATGTGGTACACTGGGCCCAAACTCCTTAAAAGTACTCAGAGATCATTATTTGACAGATGAAAATATCAGAAAACGCTTTTATTTTGATTAAATAATGTTTAGATGTTTGAGAAAAAAGTGTGTTTTTTGTGTAAATTGTGCAAAACTTTTGGATTAAATTCTCCCTAGAGTGACATCATCAATATGAGACTCTCTAAAACAGAACTCTCCTCTTCCTGTAATTTATTTTTCAAGTTTTCTTCACAAATTGCGCTTTGATTTGTGTAAAATTACCATTTATATTTCCACCAGGTATTATCCCTCCAGATTATATTAAAATTTGAGAATCATCAAAAGCTGTCATACACACTTTAAAGGACCAGCCCAGTGACTTTATTAAAAACAATTCATTGCACTAACATATTTTCACGATTCACTGGCTGGGCAAACCATCAGAGCCCTCCTACAATGATGGGTAGAATCCTTGTAATAAGCACCTCCTTTAGAATCCAGAAATAAACTTCACACCTCCTCCTCCTGCTCCCTTGTTCTACGCCCCCGTTTTACTATCACTCCACTTCCCTGTCATTCATCTCGTTCCCCCTGCACCAGTCGCAGCAGCGGCGGCAGCAGCAGCAGCTATCAGTGCGGGCCCCAGTGCACGTGTGTGTCCATATCATGTGTGGCGTAGTACATGGTATTTTTAGCCCCACTATCAAGTATCTCTCCATGTCCCAAATGGGAAACATCAATATCTGAATCGGGAATCCTAATGGAGCCAAAGACATCTGCCTGTCCGCATGTGTTCCAGTGGGCAGCGAATTATCACATTGTGGGAACGACTCAAAACTCTATACATGTGGGGACATGCCTCCTTCTTGGAATCCTTTAAATTCTCTATGATTAGATTAGCAACATGGTTAAAAAAAAAAAAAAAAAAAAAAAAAAAACATACACGGAGTCATATAAAGCTTGTTTACTTAATCAGTTACTTGAAAGTCATCTTCTCTGAGCACTCTTTTTTTTTTTTTCATTTTGCCTAGATTGTTGCATCATAGGTAAAAATCTGAGCCTGCCCTACATAATTTCATTCCCGCTCACAGTCAGAATACCTGTTTTTCTAGGTATTTTTGAGCTATAAAGCCACCTATAATTTAATAAGTGCAGGGTAGAGCTGGTTAACGTCACACTGTGGACCTTCCAGACAGAGCAATGACATATCCATAGAAACAAGCAGGTCTATATGTAAAGAAGAAATTGTTTAAATTAGTTACAGTCTTATGTCTTTTCAAAAAGGTCTGAAAATCTTGTCAACATTAAAAGTGTTCTGTTTTGAAATGCCTATTCTTTCATCAATGAATCTTAAGAGCCTTTGGACAAAATTCACCTTGAAAACTGTAGTCTAATAAATTTTTTTATTATTACATTAGCAACATGGTTTAAAGGTTTCCTTCATAAAAAAATAAAAAAAAAAAAAAAAACATACATGGAGTTGTATAGCACTTGTTTAATTAATCAATTACTCCAAAGCCATCTTCTTAAGCACTCGTTTCTCACTCAACTCACACTTTTTTTTTTTTTTTTATTTTGCCTAGATTGTTGTTGTATATAGGTAAAAATCTGAACATGTACTGCATACTCACAGAATACCTGTTTTTCTAGATTTTTTGAGCTACAAATCCACCTATAATTTAATAAATGCAGTAATGTCACACTGTGGACCTTCCAGGCAGAGCAATGGCATATCCATAGAAACAAGCAGGTCTATATATAAAGAAGAAATTGTTTAAATTAGTTGCAAACAGTTTTATGTCATTGGAAAAAAGTCTGAAAATCTTGGCAATATTAAGTGTTCTGTTTTGAAATGAATATTCTCTCATCAGTGAACCTTAAAACTTTGTAGACAAAATTGACCTTGAAAACTGTAGTCTGATAAATTCTTTATTATTAGCCCAGCAACCTGGTTTAAAAGTTTCCTCCGTTGAAAAAAAACAACAAAAAAACATAAAATAATCAGTTACTCCAAAGTCGTCTTCTCTGAGCATTCATTTATTTATTTTCTATTATTATTATTATTATTATTATTATTTCATTTTTTTCATTGTGCCTAGATTGTTGTGTCATAGGTAAAAATCTGAGCACGTCCTGTGTAATTTTAAAGTCCATAAACCATCCGTGATCAAACTGTGTTCACAGCAAACACATGGCTCTCTTAGCATAGCACCCATATTGCTTAGTGGCTTTATTTGTTTCTTTTCTAATTGCTCAATCGTGTTGCTGACAACAGAGGACGCTGTAATGCCTAAAAGCTTCAATGGAAGGTTAGGCAAATAATGACTATGGTTAGGGTTAGTATCAGTCTCCAAGAAATGTAAGTAAATCCATGTAATGTAAGAAACATGGAAGCCCAACATGCGTGTAGATATGTGTGTGTGTGTGTGTCCTTGGTCGACTGTCAAGGTGAGTTGTTTTTTCTTTTTATATGAAGTAGTCCAGGGATGATAGGGTTAATGTATTTTCAGTGTAAACCCATGGAGACATCTTGAGGACAGGATCACCTCTTACATTGATCTAAGGAGAACAAGGGGGTAGAGACAGAAAAAAAGACTTATGGAGGCGCTGGTATATATAGGTTATGGATGGTTATAATGGTGACAGCATGGGAGCTAGAGGTCAGCTGAGTGCGAGTCATCTTCAAGGTGAATGGCTAGAGCTGGTAATTAGTGAAATTAACAGCTGTGGATGTCAGTGAATAAACGGCGTGGTAATAAAAGCAGCACGTTAATAGTAGAAAACCGCGCTGGCTGGTTCATGCTTTTCGTTCTATTCTATAACCTCCACTGGCCTAGTTTCCCTGTTCCGTTTTCATGGACATTTCATACCATTTCCCAGTGGGCACAAAGCTACGTTCACATTGGTGCAAAAACATGGCCCAGATTTGACGGTAAGGATTCTATGTGATTTTGACACCAGCTGCAGTTATTTTACAGTACATATATATCGTTAACCTGGGCCTGTTATAAGTTTTTGCAGGAAAAGCAAGAAAGACCAAGAAAGACAGGCCCGCTTGACCAAATCGCTGAGCTGAGTAGGTGTTTTCATTTTGCTGTGGCTGCAGACTTAAAGGGCTGTAAATCAGTTTACTTCCATAAAAATGGTGATGTAGCAGTTGGAATATAATTCGATATGTCATTTAATAATTCCAGTGTCCAAAAACTATGACTAATTCACAGGAAAAGCAATAGCAGGAGATTACTTTTCTTTATGGCCCGGGGTGAAACATTCAACATAATCTCAATAGAAGAGTATATAAATATGGATATATCATATGGTTAAATGTGATGATACAGTATCGATATCGTGGGCTGCTGTATCGATTTATCACCAACAGTATTTTTTGGTATATTTTACTAATTATTTTGTTATAGAGCTACAGTTTTGTTGCTTGTTTAGAGGAAGGAAACTCATTTATGCAACACATTTGACATTTTCACTGTTTTGATGAGTAAAATGGGTGTGTTTCATGTGTTTCATATTAACTTTGCACAAGAAGTCATTTAACAAAGACTTTTAGTATCACAGCCATGATTTAGATTTATTTTTATTGGACCTTATCGAATTGATTTGAAATATATCAAAACAAAAGTGCACTGTATCGAGATATGTATCATATCATGGCCTACGTATCGAGGTATGTATCGTATCATGGCCTACGTATCGAGGTATGTATCGTATCATGGCCTACGTATCGAGGTATGTATCGTATCATGGCCTACGTATCGAGGTATGTATCGTATCATGGCCTACGTATCGAGGTATGTATCGTATCATGGCCTACGTATCGAGGTATGTATCGTATCATGGCCTACGTATCGAGGTATGTATCGTATGTGCAACTTCTTAATGATACCCAGCCCTAATGAAGAGTACAGTGTTTGTTATATATAGTTTTCATGCTTAAATGTGCACTTTGTAACTTTTTCTGGGGAAGGATCCACCCCCGTCTCCATGGAGATGTTATTGCTTTACCTGGAATGCTACACAGTATGGCATTTACATTTTCTTATATCCATGGAGACAAGCAAGTGATGCCACATGATCAAGTTACAGGTCAGATCTTTGGAGACCTCATGGCAACCCCATGCATACAGAGAATGGATGTTTTATATGTAATTCAATATGGATAATCTAAGTGTCATATTTCCAACGAGACAGGCTGTTCATTTTCTTTCTTCACGTTTGGTCAGTGGGTCATTTTCTGAATAAATGTAATGTAATTTAAATGTTACATAAAGCAATTTAAACTAGTAAATGCTCACAATTCCAGCAGTTAATATACATTTTATATGAACCACATCTCTTATTCATTTTCCTTCATGATAACTAATTCCTACCCCTCTTTTTCAGGGTCATCATAGCAAAGCATTGTAATTGCATTGTGTTACTTTTCTGGTGGAGGGTCTGTCAAATGCTTTTCCCCATGGAGATGAACCTTTCTTTGTTCATGGAGACCAAACTTGGAGTTACAGGTCAGATCTGTAGAGAGGCATCACCGCTCACAGTCAGAATGCTTGTTTCTCTAGGTATTTTTGAGCTATAAAGCCACCTAAAATTTAATAAATAGAGTGTAGAGCTGTTTAATGTCATACTGTGGAGCTTATAGGCAGAAACAAGCAGGTCTTTATATGAAGAAGAAATAGTTTTAATTAGTTGCAAAGAAATTTTAAAAAGGCCATTTGAAAAAGGTCTGAAAATCTTGACAGCATTAAAAGTGTTCTGTTTTGAAATGCCTATTGTCTCATCAATGAACCTTAAAACTCTTTAGACAAAATTGACCTTGAAACCTGTAGTCCGTAATCTGCCCTGTAAAAAAAATAAAAAAATAAAAACAGCATCGCAAATGTTGAGCCAGCATTAGGCCATGATGAAAATCCACACACCTTGCGTTGAGTCATCAGACCAATAAAGTACAGTACAAATAGTAGCCTATAAATACAGCGCTTGTAAATCACGACCTCTTTCATTGTCCTTGTTCTTTTTTCCAACCACCTGGTGTGAGCTTCCAGGTGCACAGACAGGCCTACGGAGCTGGGAAAGAGGACATAACTGTATTTCGTATGCAAATGTTTTCAGATATCTGTGCCTTTTGTGGTTATGAAAGCTGTATGCGTTCCCTGTTTTATGATACACTTTCTGAAGAAATGCTGATTCGATTTTTAGAATTTTGAGAGCCAAAGTTTTTCAGCTGAAAGAGAATCCAACCTGCACTGACCCCAACTTGAAATCAATGGCGTGAAATACTATATTTTCTTCATCTCCCTGGCTATTTTGAGTTGCGAGTTGAGATATGATTTAGCAATTTTTGAAAGCAGACTGTTCTTCCAATATGCAACCAGCCGTAATCCTGAGATAGGAGTCAATGTCAGTCAAGTGCCTTGCCCAAGGACACATTTTAACATTATGTGTTCAGATAAGGTTTGAACCAGCTACTCTGTTGTTGGTGGATGATTGTTTAACTCCACCCTTAGGAGGAGAGACAAAAATGGAAGAAGGGAGTAGCCCTATAGTCATCCACATGTGTTCCAAACCCTTTTCTTTAAATTACACATCTATACTATTATAATGACACAGTCTGAATTATGTTGAGTAGTTTTGAAATGATTGAAATTACATGGATTAACAAAGTACACGGACGATAGCTAAACTATTGTTAAAACCATTCGTCCGTCAGATCTTCCATATACAGTTAGGTAATGAGGACTACTGTAAGTTTGGTTTATAATGCAGTGATACGTGTACTTCCATATTACTGCTTATAGAAAGTAGGTGGATTAGCGAAGTACACTGACAATAACTACCAAAACTACAGAGAAAACCATTCATCCGTCAGATCTTCAATGTACAATTAGGTAACGGGACATCTGTAAGGTCAGTTTATACAACAGTGAGTAACAGCACAATCACGCAATATTTAAGCAAGTCACCACTGCACCACTGTACGTCACTTTCGGTCAAAATACTGCTCCGAACCAGCTCTGTCCGCTTCCAAAGAATCTGAAACCTCTACCAAACTCCTAGAAGTGATGACTAATGCCTTTTCCATCCCCATATTATTGATCGGTCTCCACACCTTAGCGCGAACCTTGACTACACTCCGAAAGCTCCCATTTCAATCCGTGTTCAAGTGAAGTTTTTCAGTCGTAATTGTCTTTAAAGCAACAAGTAACCCTACCTAAGCCTCGTCAAAGTTGGTTAGTTGTACGCTGACATAAACTGATCATTCTACCACTGCGTGCTGTTGTTACGCAGTATGGAAGAGGCATTGGAAGTTACACTCACCCAGTAACAGTGCCACTGCCAAGCCAGCGTGAAGTAGGTCCCCCGATCTCTGCCGACTAGAGACATTTGAACCAGTGCTGTCCGCCATCACCATCGACAACACCTATCTCTCTGGCACTATGTCAATAATTCCTTCTCTTGTCAATTTTTCCAGTTTGCAGGTTGCGGTCTTTGCAGCAGCAGCTCTGAATGTGTTGGGACGCTAAACTGCACCGCCAAAGTCCTCCACCCTCCCTCTCTTCTTCTCCTCCTCCTCCTCTGCACTCTGTCCCAGCAATGAACGGACAGGAATTCTTGAATGGGGCTTTCCCTCCTCTCCTGTCCAGGCTTTGCAGGTTTCTTGGCAAAAGGCAAGTAACACAAAATGCTGCATCCGATTTTATGTTGCTGTCCGATGATCATCCGGTAATGCAAAAAATTAAGCAGGGTACAGCAGCAGTTGCAGGCAGGCAGGCAGGCAAGCAGGCTGGCTGGCTGGTGGGTTGGTTGTTGCGGTCCCCCCCCCACCACACTGGGAGACACTGACGGATCGAGGCACGTAATAAGATGCTATAAAGCCCCAGCAGCAGTTAGCGGAGAGGCACGGAGTCTCTAGCCGGCACGGGGAGAAGCGAGCTACTGCAGAGGTGGGAGAGAGGGAGAGGAGCAGGGAGGGGAGAGGGGGTAGAGAGGGTGGGGGGGTGATAGAAGTGCTGCCACACACACATACAGTACAGCTGAGTCAGCCTTACTCGAGACAGCCTCATGGTCAGACGTTGGTCGGAGCTATTGCATTCTACATATCACAAGCGCAGGTTCAAACCGGTGAGAGAGACTGGGGGGTGAATGGACACTTAAGCTAGAGTCATTATTTGACTCTGACTTTGTTGACATCATCAGAAAGAAATCTCGCTGTAATTGTTTTTGTGGTGCGTGTGTTTTATGGACCAGAAGATTCAAGTATTGATCTTGTTAATGTGCACCAAAGCCATTGCGTGTTAAGAACTATATTGGGATTAGGGAACACATGGGTTTGTACCATGAACATACGCATGCAGAATTTCTTTGTTAATGTAAATAATATATTTTGTTGAGCCTTAACACCCAAGAAACCTTCGAGTCCAAACTAGAAAACTTGCCATATTGAGTCTACCAATTTTAATGGTTTTAACATTCTGAAGGTGGAATATGTATCATTTCTGATGGAAGGTTGACAGGGGCTTGTCTCTAAATTGTATTGCTTGGCAGGAAATGTTCCACAGTACGACTTTAAACTTACATTGCTCCATGAAGAAAAGAAGGTTACCCCATAAGGCATTATAGGTCAGATATGTGGAGAGGTGATGCAGTTTTTTTTTTTTTTTTTTTTTTTTTTATAGTAATAATCCAAATATAACTGGACAAATCCCAGTCAGATCAGTTTAATAACATACTGTGGATATTTTCAGGTAAATAATTATAATAATAATGCATCAGTTTTATATAGCGCTTTTCTGGACACTCAAAGACATTTCACAGAATATTCTTCATTCACTCCAAACTACTATTGTAGTCACAGCTACCCTGGGGCAGACTGATGGAAGCGAGGCTATCAATCTGCGCCATCGGCCCCTCTGACCACCACCATCACTCACGCACGCACCACTTTCATACTAGGCAGTGTGGGTGAAGTGCCTTGCCTAAGGACACAACTAGCGCCCCACTGTGGCAACAGATATTCCTAAGCAATACAACAAGTAAATGGCGGAGCCTGCAGTAAAAGTTACATAAGCAACTTTACTCTCCATCTATAGAAATTTCACCATCTTATGTAAGGCTAAAATTTATTATATTTAATTAATGTATATAATTTAAAGGGAAACACAATGCTCATCATTCATTTGATCTTTGCACTTCATTTGCACTTTTAAAGAACAAAGATGTGTGTGTGTGTGTTTTTTTTTCTCAATGTAAATATGTTTTATTAATAGCATTGTGCAATGACTTAAAGGTCCTATATGATACAAAATGGACTCTTGTGAGATTTTAGCCATGTTAGAATGTTGTTAGCCCATGAAACATACCCTAAGTTGTGTTTTATTTCATTCACACATGTTACTATTAATCTACATCCCCAAAGCTCAAAATGCTCTTTTCCAACTTGTGATGTCATGTAGTGGTAGTTTCCAAGCTCCTTTAGCCTTTTGTTCAACAGAATGTGAATAAAAAAAAAAAAAAAAAAAAAAAAAAAAAAACTGCAGGTATGTTTTTGATGAGAAAACAACATTACAACATAGTTTTTGAAGGGCAAATACACATTATGTTACAGTAACATGCTTAAATACAAATCTAGTATGATGCACTTTCCAAGTTTTCAGCCCTCTACGAACCTGAAGTGAATATTTAAGCAACTTCTGTAACTGCATGCTTGTGTATTTGTCAACCATGATTTAAATAAACCACTTCCTGATCCATTTTGTCTGTATTTTCTCTGAGTATGTCTTCATTGTATCTAAAGGAAACCTAATATCCCCGCACCAGTACAGTGTATGAACTATACTGTGACCAGAGTGAGGACAGAATCTTAAGCATCCTTCTCGACACAGTGTAATAACATGTCCTTCACACCTGAGAGAAAAATGCCTTAGCCTCTGCACTTTAGTCAAGCATCGCGTACATTTTATGGTCCATCCTAGCCTTCACATGGGACCGGGCTGTGAGGGATTGACAAAGTTCACAAACTCAATGCTCAGACTGACCCTCACGAGATTCATGTGTTCTTCCGCACTCCGCTACTGTCACCACACATCACCTCGTACATGTACAATAACTACACTATAACCAGCTACATGAATTGAATTTAAAATCTGTGTGGAAATTTCTGCAAACAAATAAATTCCGAGATAGTTTCTGTGACTGCGCATGTACAATTTCAAGGTGCCAGAGTCAGAAGATCTTAGACTGGAGTGAATCTTTTATTTGAAAGGAGAAAGAAATGTAAATATGGCAACAGTTAAAACTTTCATATTTAAATAGTAAATAATAGTTGCAAAATGATGAGTACAAATTAATATAAGATACTAGGCTCCATATGCTGACTATTTGTATATTCTGTATATTCTATTAAGGTATCCAGTAGAGCATTGTTTCCCAAAGACCCTCAGATGGGTCGTGAGAGATTTTTTGGGGGTTTACCTTGTCGTGACCTGCATGTAGTTCTACAGTATACGGTTCTGACACATGTTGAAATATTAAGACATGTTTTGTATAATTTCTAATCTTTTGGTAATTATGTCATTGACTATTTTGTTCCAATATTGCTGGTTCAATTGAATGCTGAAAAGAAAAAGAAATGGACTACATTTAATGTCCTAATAGGCGATTTATGGATACCTTTTATTGCTGGTTCAATGACTGTTTTTCATCGTGTAAAACTTGAGTAATACTATTTGTTCAGAGAGACACAATCACTCAGTCAACAAGAAAATATCCTCATTAATGTTTAATAATGGTCAAATCCACCTTTATTTTGTGATTTACAAAGAATGACTATTGACTTGGGTTGCAAAGGTTTGTGACTTTTAAAATATGGGTCCCCAGAAGTTTGGGAAACACTGCAGTAGAGGGAGAATGTTCACTGAAGTCAATGGTTATTTTTTTTGGAATCTATCTATCTATCTATCTATCTATCTATCTGTCTGTCTGTCTGTCTAAGAATTAGAGATCTCATAAGTAATCAATCAGTCCACATGTGAAGTGTTTTGAATACCTGTGTTTTGTCAAATAAACAAAATTAAATATATTATTATGAGTAATAAAAACATTTGTTTCTATAATAGTTAATCCACCAACACAAGGTCTCCAAAGTGCTGCACAGAGTAGGCACAATATGAATTAACACATTCAATAAAATAAAGCATAAAATGAATAAACAACAAGTCAATAAAAAAACATAAAGAATACTAAAATTCATGCTTGTCCACCCACTGGAGAGTAGCTGGTATACATATATTTGATTATCTGTTGATTTCAGATTATCACAATATGGAGGGAGAAAAAAACTATTAAAGTAAATAATAGTGGAGTAAATTGGTGGACTTTAAATTATGGATGCGACACTTCGTATTTTGTTTCGCAAATATGACACAACGCAGAAACAAACCAAAGCAAACAAATATGAATCCAACTATTGTGTTTTGAATGTTGTAACAATATTCCAGCAACGCATAAAGTTTGAGTTTTCCATATGTTTCTCTCCACACATAATTATATCAATTTGTTGATCCTACGCACAGATAAGACCGCTGTTTCTTGCTTTTACTCATGATTAATTGATGCCACACTTTCTTTTGACAACTTGGCATACTGTACCTACCTTTTCTGGCACCACTCGGCTCCCTGGGGCTTTGGCACAATTTGCATGGAATCACTTCTAGTCCACGACATCTCCAGTGGGACCCAGCTAGTTTTCCGAACAATACCTTGAACAAAACTCAAATATATGCGATATTATTGTTATTATTTACATCGTGTTTTTTTCCTGCTTTTCCATCTCAGCGATGATGGATGCACGACCTGATCAACATTCACGCTAACACACGTGGCGGCCACATGCGCGCACAGCTACACATGTTGTCAGGTGATCCGTCTCCCATTACTGGATGTCATTTCAAGGTTCAACTCGTGGGTGTGTTGGGGCCGTGGACCAGATAGTGCGCCACATATGGTGAAGGCAAAACCGGCAGATTAGAAATGGGACATGTAGCTGAGCGGTAATCGGGCTATTAGAGGAGGCGGATCCGGCGAGGTAAACGTGTTGCGCGCGTGTACGAAGGCGCTGTTGGGATATGCATACCAAACAAGCGCACACACCTGCCCTTCAGTGGTGACCTTGGTGATATGTGTGTGTGTGGGTGTGAGGGAAGGGGGCGGGGCTTAAGAGGACATTACACTGATGAGAGGAGGATGTTAGGGACCAGGGTTGGAGAGGAGGAGGAGGAGGGGGAGGGATGAAGTGTTATGGGGATGGGGAATATGGGGGTGGGGGGTGGACAGGAAAGAGAAGGTCAAGAGAAGGAAAGATGCGATAGGGATGGGGTAAGTACAGAAAAGTATTGACTTGAGTGGAGTGATGGA